GTTCAGGTCGGTTCGGCCCCACAGGGCTGGATGGCTGTGTGAGTGAGTGCAGTGGGAAGGTGTCTCTGGTCCGTGAAGCCAACATTTCCTGCTGCTGAAGAGGGACAGCTGGGTGCTTAGGTGACAGGAAGCCACTGTGGGAGTGGGGGCCTCACCAGTTCTCACATGGACGAAGCACAGCACTACCGGGGGGATGGAGGCGCCCCTCGTGGGCACAGGGGCATGCTTGGGCAGGCACACACACATTGTTCTGGAAAGGAACACCCTCTGTCATCTCCAGTTCCAGCCTGCCCCTCTTCGGTCAAAGCCAGCACCCAATTCCTCAGCTCCCCTCAAATGCCACCCATGCTCCTTCTGCAAAGAGCTCTCCCCCAGCCCCTCCTGTTGGGCAGATACAGGCCCTCAGGGGCTGCCAGGGACGGCACATGAACCCCTCTCCCAACTTCTGTTATGGGACCATCATACACCCTTGAAATCGGCCATGAAAATATAAAATGTGCAATATGTACAGCAATGGTGTATTAAAAACCCCCAAAAACAACAACAACAAAAAAATAACACATGTAGGGAGTTTGGACAGAAGTGGCTCAAATTTAATAGGAACATTCATCTAGTAGTGCATGATTCAAAGTCCAGCGTGGGAGGTTCGTGGGCCTGGCCTGAGAGGCACTCTTCATCGTGCTCACTCTGGAGGGCACTGAGGCGTGAGAATACTCTGCCTGAGCTCACAGAGCTACTGGCAGAAGAATCTGATTTGGACCCAGAGCCACACAGAACCTGTCCCTTACCCTAACCCACAGTTTGGCAGTGACTGGGAATCCTTTGTTCAAATTCTCCACACTCAATGGCTTCTCCCAGCTCCCGTTCTCTGCCCTTCCAGACCTATCAACCACTTTACAGGGCCACCTGCTGGTTCAGGCCAGAGCTAAGTCATGGACTCGGTGCTCTTTCCTCATCTCTGCAGGATCGATCTCCCTGTCTGCAGTCCCATACCTCTGCTCTGCCCCTGCCCAGATTTTGACTGTCCCTTGCTTGTTATCCCAGAGTTCCCAGGCCCCGAGGAGGTCCCAGTTGTGACCAGGCAGGGGGTACCCACCAGCAGGTGCATCCCGTGTGGGCAGTAGCAGCCAGGGTGGCAGGTCTGCTTGGTCTCTCTCGGAGCACTGAGTTCTGCACAGGAGGCAGGGCCCTGGGCACAATCCAGCCACAGCTGACCCCTGGGACACATACCAGGGACTGGCCCTGGAGACACAGAAGTTGACAGTTCAGCCCGGAGCACTTCATCTTGCCTGGGCTCCTAACCTGGGAGGGGCACTGGGAGGGCTCTCTGTATGGCTGGGTTGTCATGGAGGCTGCACAGGGCCAAGGGATAGGGCTGCAGTGGATGGGACTGACAGTGTCCTGAGTTGGTGGGAACAAGAAATGGAGGGTCCCCAGGGCAGCTCCTCACCTGCGCAGGGCTGCAGGTTGCAGGTAGAGAACACCATGAGGACTCGTGGGCCACTGCCTCGGGTGCGATTTCTGTAGCCGCCACCACAGGGCACGGAGCAGGAAGCCCAGGGACCCCACTCCCCACCAGGACCTGGAGGTGGCACCCAGGTCACTGGAGGCCCTGCCTCCCATGCCCGGTGCACCTCCTCCTCCCACCCAAGGACACCTCTCCCTTCTCAACCCTGAAGCCACTTCACCAGCAGCTGTCTCTGGTCTCAGGAAGCCTATGCCTCTGGGGAGAGAGGGGGCTGAATCCAGGGAGGGTATCTCCTGGGGACCACCTCTTAATGGCATCCCCAAGGAAATTCCCTGCATCTCTCAGGGGCCCTTGGGGATGGTGCAAGTATTGGCTTCTCTTTGGAAGGTTATTTAAGCAGGTCTCAGGATGTAAGTTCCCATTCTCACTTTGACATGGCCGCAGGCTGCAGAATTCAGCCTCTATGTTGGGGCCCTGGCACTCAGCACCCCCAAAGGCAGCGGGGGGTGAAGTGCCTGCCCGGAAGCGCCGTCGTATGCCTACATCACAGCTGCGGCTGCAGGGACTCCACGGGGTCCAAGGACTCCAGCCACAAGCCACTGTCAGGGTGAGGGGATCATTTGTGTGAAACCAGGCCAAGCCATCCTGCACCTTGACTTCCCCAAGCCACTGCCCCCAGTGACCCCTGAGTACCCATCACTGTATGTGGGTACCTGGACAGAGCTCTGAGGTGCACGCCATCTCTCCAGAGATACAGGTGCTGCAGAGAGAGGGGCCAGTGAGACCCAACCTTGCCCATCCTGACCATAATCAGCCACTGCCCTTGAAGCATTGTGCACCTGCCCCAGGAGGAAGCTGGGCCACCAGGTCCCCCATGAGAAGTTCAGATGTGACTCCAGGTTCTCACGCAGTGGTCCCCTCACTCAAATCCAGCCTCAGTGGGCTCTGGGATGCCCCAGGTACTGTGCTGTCCCTTTGTCACATCATTTCATCAGGAGACACCTTTTTGTACTTTTTATTCCATCTACATTTACTAAATACCATTTGGAAATGGCCTTCAGTAATGTGTGGCGTAGGAGCAACTCAGAAAGAGAGTTCTCCTAGGAAGGAGTTCTCCTAGGAAGGAGAACTGGATACTTTTCTTCACTGCTAGTTTTCTCCAATGCATTTTTTTTTTTTAAATTTGGTGCTGGGGATTGTAACCCAAGTGCACTTCACCCAAGTGCACTGAGCTATATTCTCAAACGTTTTTATATATTTAATTTTGAGACAGGGTTTCACTAAGTTCTTGAGGCTGTCCTCAAACTTGTGATCCTCCTGTCTTGACCTCCCTAGTTGCTGAGATTACAGGTGTGCACCATTACTCTGGGCTAAAACGCAGGTTTTAAAGTCCATTGTCAACTACTGTCAACTAAAATCCATTTGTCCAGAAAAAGAGAAAAGGGAGTGGGAAGGAGGAAAAGCAAAGGAGGGAATTGAAAGAGGGGCCAGAGGATAGAAGGGGGAAAGGGAGGAGAAAATGAAGGATGGAGAAAATGAAATGAGAAAGGAAAAGCAGTGGGAAGAGAAATGAGTCAGAGCGCCATCTGCTGGCAGAATCTGGTTTAGCTTTGAGTACTGGGCACTTCTACATTCTGAGCAGGTATCCAGTGGATCCCAGGAAGAGAATTACAGTCAGGAAGAGAGACAGGAAGCTTGGAGGTTAGAAGGTCTCTCCAGTCTCTAGTTCCACCATCATTGCTGTGCCTATCTGAGAGCCAGTCTTCCCATGTGTCAAATGGGGATGAGCACTCCCTGCAGAGGCAGCGCGAGGCTAGGCAGCATCTCATTCACTAGTCTTCACAGGGCCTGTGCCAGGCACCTATGGCTGGGATATGTTTGGGAATGGAGGCATGATGAGCCCGTGTGTGTGTGTGTGTGTGTGTGTGTGTGTGTGTGTGTGTGTGAGAGAGAGAGAGAGAGAGAGAGAGAGAGAGAATCCATTCCTATCTCCCTGCCTACCTCAGGAGCCCGTACCCACCCCTCCTCCCCACCCCCTTCTCCAGCCTGACTGTACCCTCTGCCCAGTGGCCTACCAATTGTTGCAGGAGTCCAGGCGAGCCACTGCTCCTGGTGCATAGAGCTTCCCGTGCAGCTGGCAGGGGCACTGGCTGCGGGGCAGGCAGCTAGCGTTGTGCAGGAAGAGACCAGGTGGGCAGGTGCAGCTGGGGGTGCAGAAGCCTGTGCACTCCACCCCAGAGTCCTGTGCTAGGCACAGCTGAGGACACGGACCCCCATCCTGGTGACACTGCTCTGCTGAGCGGAACACCATGTCCTCTGGACACTGGGCTGTACAGGAAGACAGAGCAGGTCTGGCAGGGGCAAGAGGGAAGGCCGGGGAAGCCAATGGAGAGAGGAACCCACAGGCAGCGACTGGCCTGGTAGGCAGGACTGAGCTGAAGAAGCCCCTAGCCCCCTGCCCTCACTGGCTTGTTCCAGTGCCTGGAATGTCACCAGTAGAGTCACAGCTTTGCTTCACTTTATACAAATATTGTTGAGAGTAGAACATGAAGGCAATGGTGTCTGCCAGGAGGAGGACTCAAAGAGCCGGGGAGAGTGAGGAAGGGGGCCGAGGAGTCCAGGGGCTAGCCTTGCTCCCTGCAATCTGCCTGGGAGTGGCAGGCTGGTCTGACTTCCTGGAGGAGCCTGTCCTCCTAGGCCACTTCCAGGGGAGGAGCCCCGTCCCTAGCAGGAAGGAACAAGAAGCCTGTAGGAACCTGGTCCCCAGCAGGTGGGTGAGGGAGGGGACTGGAGGGGATAGTGGACATCCCGTAGTCTCCCTGGCTCAAGGCACCTCGTCCTGAAGACAGAGTTCAGTGATATGAGAAGGTGAGGTGGGGAGACGATCCGAATCCCAGCAGTGCTGCCAGCTGGAGGATGGGGAGGAACCTACCTGTGCAGGGCTGTGTGTTGCAGTCCCTGGTCTGGCTGTGGGGTCCCCGACATGCGGGATTTCCAGGAGCCGAGCCAGAGCAGCTGCGTCCACGTATCTGGATGCCTCCATTGCAGGGGGCTGAGCAGGCAGACCAGGAAGCCCACGCACCCCAGCTGCTCGGCACTGTCCAGGGTCAAGTCCACAGTCGCAGACATGGCACAGATGTGGATAGGGGAGGGGTTGAGAGAGGTCAGAGTCCTGGGTCATGCAGGTCCCTCTTCTAGGGACCAAACATTACTCATGTGCTGGCTCATGGGTGTACAGCTGGGGCAGGGAGGGGTTTCAGAACAGCCAGGGTTCCTCCATTCCCTCTGCTCCTTCGTCTCCCTAAGGCTTGGGACCTGCTCAAGGGTCATTATTTCCTGATCCTCATCCACCCAAGTGTCTGGACACAGGAGCAGTGGGGCTGTACCTGGGCATACAGGGGGGCTGCAAGGCTCCTCCTGGGTGGCCTCTCCTGGGCAGGAGGTATCCCTGAGGCCGGGGCAGAGTCGGGAACGATGTCGCCAGCCAGGGACTCCTCCAGGGACAAGGCAGCTCTGGGAGCAGGAGGACCAAGATGTCCAGGGTGTCCAGCCCAGCACCTCTGCAGAGGGACACAGGACAGGCCAACATAGAGGACCTGGTTGGGCTCAGAAGAGTCGATGAACTCAGGTCAGGTCTGAGAAGCAGAAGGCCAGGACAGAGTTCATGAGCATGAGGGATTCTGCTCTGGGCTCAGGGGCATGGCCTCTGTCCCCTCCCAGCTGGCTTGGATCCATTCTGAGCCCTACTTCTCACTCGTGGGAGCCAGGAACAAGGCTCCCCACTGAGGCTGGCCTCAGCTCCATACCCACACCTACATACCCACGGTCCAGCCAACCTCTGACATGATCATCACTCATCCTCATACTTCTCCTAGAGCAGTTCTTCCAGATTTTTCTATGAGTCTCTGAACACCTGACCTCTCTTTTCCTCCTGCTGCGAGACTGTGGCCCAGAACCCTTGGACTCATGTTTCAGCCTCCTCCCTTGCCCCTCCTCCTTGGGCTGACCCTGGCTCTGCTTCTCCTCATGTTCTCCTCCCCGTTCCGTCTGGATACCAGGGAGGGCTGGCCTGCTCTCTAGAGGCCTCACCAGTGCTGGCACAGCTTGAGGGTACCTCGTCTGTGGAAAGAGGGAACCGTTTGCACCTCTCGGTCTCTGTGCTCCTGCGTCCCTCCTCCAGCCAGCCTGGCCAGCCTCACCTCCTTCCTGGCTCTGCAGACGCGTGCTCCACCTGGCCAGCCTGCTCCGTCAAGGCAGCCCGTATCTCACCCCCACCAAGCCCATCCCCTCAGGCCAGTTCCAGGGCTGCCTCCGGCACTGGGGAGGCTTTGCTGATCCCCATCCAGAGTGTCGGTGGGTCCCATCCTCTGTGTTCACAAGGACGAGGGGCAGGCTCTGTAGTACCTGTCCCACAATCCACGTGGCAGACCTGCAGTTCCTGCTTGTCCCCTTCACAGGGGGCACCTCCAAAAGCCGCAGGAGGGTTGGAGGGAGACCTGGGAGAGAGGACCCCCTGAGTGCCTGTCCTCCCCCTGCTGCCTTCCTGTCCTTCCTCCTTCCACTGCCCTCCCCACCAGGCCTGCCTGGCTCCGAGCATCTTCCCCTCTCTCCCCCGTTTCCTTCCTCCTCACGCACCTGAACCTGGCCCTCACTCCAGAGCCACAGGAGCGGTCGCAGGGAGTCCAGGAGGACCAGGCCGACCAGCCGCAGGGCTGTGGGCAGGCCCCTGGCTCGCACACCAGAGTGCCCCTCTCACATATGCTGCAGGGAAGGAGAGGGGGGAGCTGGTTGGCACCGGGGGCCCTGCCTGGGGCCCCGCCCTGGCCCAGCACCCTCACCATTGGCTGCAGTTGTCCAGGAGGAAGGACATCCCTGGAGGCTTCAGCTCTTCACCCACAAGGCAGGGGCACTCAGAGAGGGGCAGGCAGCGAGAGTCATGGAGGAGGAGCCCCGGGGGACAGCGGCATCCTGGAAGGAGGGAGAGGAGGGTCCTCAGCTCCATGGGGTCGGCAGGGAGGCGGGCTAGAGACTGAAGGCTGGTGGGCTTCTGCCGGCTGGGTCTACCTTACCCTCCACACAGGGCCCAGTGCAGCTGCCGTTGGTCTCGGGATCCAGGCAGGAGGGTGGGCATGGGGGCACCAGCCCCTTCTGGCACAGCTCAGCATTCACATGCACACGGCCCAGCCCGCAATCTAGGGGACGAGCCTCAGGTGGGGTGAGCACTGAGAGGCCCAGAGACCTGCCCACACTCCCTGCAGGACACCTCTCCCAGCCTAGCTCCCCCTTACCTGTGTCACCAGTGCAGGGCTGCAAGCCACAGGGGGCCCTTTCCCAGGAGGCCCCAGGGCAGGGTGCACCGCCGTTCTTGGGTGGTGGATCCATGCAGCTCCTCTGGCGACTCTGATGGCCGCCCCCACAGGAGACACTGCAAGGTCCCCAGGTCTCCCACTCCGCCCATGCCCCAGCCACTGTGGGGAAGGAAGAATGGGGGGTCCCAAGGAGACAAAGACTGTACTAAAGAGAGGAGGCAGGCAGAGCAGAGGCGCCCTCCCGGCTCGGTGGTGCTCTGGGAGGTCTGTAGCTTCCTCTGTCCCAGGAACAGTCCCCATAGGTGAGGACACTAGGTTCCTCCCAGGACAATAGGGGTAGTCTCTGAGAAGGCCCTGATGGCCAGAACCCTGGAGTGGGGCGCACCAGAGCGAGGGCTGGGACCAGATGTGGGGCTGAGACCCTATGTGGGAATCCCCTCTCTGGAACAAGCAGAAGAGCCAGGGGCACGGGGACCAGTCCCTCAGATTCATGGAACAAAAGGGCTACAGGGCCTTCTGTGTGGAGCCCAGGGGTGAGGGGCACAGCCAGCTGACATCTGTGGTCCGGTGCCAAATCCCACCTCATGTGGCCTCTCTACCCCCCACAGAGCCTGCTGGGCAGGAATGGCTCTGGGTGATGGGACTCACTTGGGCCACTAGGAGGCAAGGCGGGAGGGGCCAGGGAGGGGCCAGCAGGTTTCCCTTTAGGGGCTAAAGGCTGTCATCAGGGGGACATCACACTCTTAGAGTCCCAGAGATGGGGGGATGGACACTGGGTTCCAAGGAGAGCAGAGGCACATCCTGATGAGGGTCTCAGATGGGAACCAACTCAGGCCTCCCCCTCACAGGCGTCTGGGACAATCCCCTCTTCCTTCTCGGCTGCTGCCTACCTACCTGGGCAGGCCTGCACAAAGCAGGGCTGGCGGCGGAGCTGGTCCAGGGGGCAGCTGCCCCCAGGCAGGGGAGGCCGCAGCAGCTCCCGGCGCTGGAAGGTGAGGCCCAGGCCACAGCTGCGGCTGCAGCCACTCCAGCCAGACCAGGGTGCCAGCACACAGTCCACTGCAGGGGACAGATGCCTAGGGATCAGAGGGGGCGCACGCGGGAGTGGGGCCTCAGGATAGAGCCTGACCCAGCTTGCTCTTACCACAGCCGTCCTCGTCCGAGCCATCCTGGCAGTCGGGCCGCAGGTCACAGCGCCGCTCAGTGGGCAGGCACTCCCCGCTGCCACAGCTCAGCTGGCTCTGGGAGCAGAGAGTCCTGGAGGCTGGCAGTCCAGGCAGGACTGTGGTGGGCACCATGAAGGGCATAGGACTTGCTGCCCATGAAACACAGATAGAGGAGAAGGGAGCCACATAAGTGATTCCAGGCCAGATGATAAACAGCCCCTTCAGCCTCGGGCCAAGAGCAGGATAGAACTCGTTGACCAGGGCCCTGGACTCCCTTCCTCCAGACGCCTCCTGCAGCCTGCACCTGAGGCAGGCTTCCTTCCACTATGTGTGGGTGAGGTCTACGTGGGCCTGTGGTCTACACAGGCCTAGCCTACTCATCAAAGGCTCATGGGAGTGTCCAGGGAGAGGTCACAGCACCTGAAAGAGCAGTTCACTCCCTGTTATATTGTCCCCCAAAGGCCCATGAGTGGAAGGCTTGGTCAGAGGTGGGGCCTTTGGAATGTGATTGGATCATGAGGCTCTGACCTCATCTGTGGATTAATCCACTGGTGGGTTCATGACTGATGGCCTAGTGAGAGGTGGTGGACACTTTAGGAGGGGGTCCCGGCTGGGGGAGAAGGTTGCTGGGGGTGTGCCTGGACAGCTATATTTTGTCTCCAACCTCTCTCCCTCCCTCCTTCCCTCCCTGTGCTTCATGGCTGCCATGTTGTGATGAGCTTTCCTCTGCCATGATGTTTCTGCCTTGGAGCCAGTCGACCAATGAACAGAAATCCCTGAAACCTTAGCCAAAAGAAGTCTTTCCTCCATAAGTGTATTTTTACAGCAATGAGAAGCTGATTAGCACAGGCTCTGTATTCTGGAATGGTGACTCCCAGGGGTGCCCCCTCCTGTGATGGATTAGCACTTGATTTTTCTTTTCCTGATTGAAGAGCAGGTTTTGATCATAGTGATTACTTTGATGGCTGGCTGGAGGGTGGGAGGGTGGTTGGATGGGTGGGTACATGGATGAGTGGATATGTGGATAGATGGGTAGATGAGTGTCCTTAAAGGTCCAACAGATTTTATAAAACAGGGTGGGACTCAAGCTCTACCCTATTCCCTCTCTTTGCCATTTCAACAGAGGTTCCCCTTCCTGGATTTTTCATATTCAGTTCCTCTCCTCTCTTGCTGCCCCCTGCTCTCTCAGATCCTCCCACATGACTGGAAATGGGCACAGTGTCTCCTCAGGTCTGAAGCCCTCTGGCGGTCCCAGGCCTTGGCTCACCGCAGTGCCGCTCGTCATCGCCGTCCAGGCAGTCCTCCTTCCCATCACACAGCTGCTCCGGCTCCACGCAGCCCAGCACCTTGCAGGGCAGCTGCCCGGGGCTGCATCGCACAGGCGGGAAGGGGCTGGGGGCAACTCTCTGGCCTGTGGGTGCCACCATAGCCAGCTGAGGAGGGACCTCGTGGCCCTGTGCTTCCTCCCTGATCACCTCTTAGCAGTCCCCAACCTTTCTCCTCTTGGCATCTGGGGTGCCCCACTTTCCGCCTCTCTTGGCATAAAAGGAAGAGAATGAATGGGGTCAGGAAACTTGGGTCGTAGGCCTGGTTCTACCAAAATGACCTTGATCCATGTGATTTTGAGCAAAGCGACCAACCTCCCAGGGCTTGTGCCCCTTCATGGGGAAGTGGGGCTCACAACAGGCTTTGCGCCCAGGTAGAAGAGCTCAGAGCTTACCAGCAGGGGTCATCGGAATCATGGGGTGTGTGGGGAGCACTGTTGTGGCTGCCATTCCCGGTGTCAGGCTTTGAAACCCAGCATGGAATGTGGGAGTGTTGCTCCCTGTCTGCACGGATTCCCCAGAACTTGGGTGAGGAGCTTTGGAGGCGGGGGCAGGGCTCACTGGCCTCTTCTCTGTGGGCAGAGGGGAGAAGGAATGAGGGCTGCCTAATTCCCCTTCCTGTGAGAGGACCCATGAGAGGGTGTCCCAGGCTTCTGCGTGGTGCAGGGTAATCACAGGGGCCACAGACCATTCCCTACCTTCCAAGGGGCCTCAGATTAAAAGAGAAAAGAAAGTAAAGCAGCTCTTGGTAGTCCAAAGAGCATGAGAAGGGTTTAAAGTGAAAGTAGAAGAAAACTTAGTTCTGATCTGAGGTTTGTACTCTAGTCATAGGGGAGACTTGAGGTGCCAGGTTTGGTGGCACATGCCTGTAATCCCAGCAACTCGGGAGGCTGAGGCAGGATGATCACAGATTCAACCTCAGCAACTTAGTGAGGCCCTAAGCAACTCAGCC